GCCTCTTGGGCCGTCTGGAATTCATCCCCCTTGGGGGCCTTCATGGGGCCCGCTTCGGCCGTCTTGGGCGCCTCTTGGACCATCTTGGGGCTCTCCTGGGCCGTCCTGGGGCCCTCTTGGGGCCTCCTGGGCCGTCTTGGGGCGTCTTTGGGCGCTCTTGGGGGCCTCTTGGGCTGTCTTGGACGCTGTTAAGACCCTGAAGGCGAATATGCTAAACACAGAAGCTGTCCTGTGGGAATGGGGCAAAATTGAAGCCTTCTTGGGGCGTATCGGGTCTCGGGCCATCCTCTGGGGCAACGACGACGACGACAACGCGGACGACGACGGGGACGACGCAACGTCGACGACGACAACGACGACGACGAGGGAAAGGAAAAGGAAGTACAGGGCCATGTTCGGGTAGTCGTTTGGAAGTTTGTGGCGTGGTGTGAGCTTCTTGGGACAGCGTACGCTTCCGCAGCCCACCTTCGGCCTTTCTTGGGCCGTCGAGGAAGTGTCGTGGAATGTCTCTGTAGCCTCTTGGTTCTGATAGGGGCGCATTCTGGGATCTTTGGGCAGTACTTGGCCTCTCTTGGGGCTTTCAGGGGCGTTGAGAATCAGCGTGTTCAATTGAACTCAGCCATCTTGCCCTTCTCTTGGAGCCCGCGGGCGGGCTCATGACCACGCCCCCGGGTACGCATGGCCGCCCCGGGGGCCCCAGGGGCACCCTCGTGGCCCCCAAAGTGGCCCCGTGGGCGGCCTCCGAAAGCGTCCGAGCTGCGCCAGGCCGTGTCGGGGCCCTCCTGGGGGCCTCTTGGCCCGTCTTGGGGCGGTTTTGGGGGCCACTTGGACCGTCTTGGATTGTCGAGAGCTCGAAAAGTGGAGGACCCCAACAGCATTTAAGATGATCGACCCATGAACCTGGAAAGGGATTTCGAACTGCAAGGCATGGGAACGTGTCCAAACACCTCAAGTGGGCGATGGGTGATAGCAACGCTGAAGATGTGCATGGTGATGATGCTGTGTTAGGGGCTGTGTTGTGCTGATCTGCGCTGTGCTGCGCCGCACAGAGACGTACCAGGGGACACGCCGCGGAACGTGCCAGTGGACGTGCCAGGGACGTGCCAAGGGACGCGCCCCGCGATGTGCCAAGGGGACGCGCCACGGGACGCGCAACGGAACGTGCCAGGGGGACACCCCACGGATTGTGCCAGCGGCTTTGCCAAAGGGACGTGCCGAGGGACGCGCCGCGCAACGTGCCCAGGGGGCGCGCCAGGGAACATGCCAAGGAGCGTGCACGGTGGCCACGATCCTTCGTGAATTACGCGGCGTCCGCGCTCCCAGGTCCAAGATCCGTCGTGAGTTACGCTGTGACGCCGCGTTCCTTTTTGCAAGTTGCTTGGAAGTCACGCTCCCAGGGCAACGGCCCCTCGCACATCGCAAACCGACGCTCGGAGGGGCTGGGGAGGGTGGTCGAACCAGGGGTGGGGGGCCCCCGACATTCAGAGGGGGGGGGGACGGGGTCGAACCGGCCCGCCACCTCGAAAGGGCCCCCTGGCACTGAATTGCAGGGGAGGGGTTTGAACCGGGCGGGGGGCTTCCCTCCCTCCCCAGTGGCAACCCACGACAGCGAGCGCTAGCGCCAGCGCTGGCGCCATCGGGCAACGACGACTCCGATCGGGCCTTAGTATGATGTTATTACAAGAGGATCGAGTCCGAGTAACACTCTATTGGAGCTGGATGGAGCCATAGATGGACTCAATGAGAGCTGGATCTAGCTACTATAAGCTCCTAAGTGAGATGGATAGCATGTGAGCAGGTTCAATTAGAGCTGGATTCAGCTGTACTGGGGCTCGATTGAACTTGGATCGAGCCTGATTAGGATTCCATGAAACTTTGATCCAGCTCCGTCAGGACTAAAACAATATCCTGGCCAAGGACCCAACCATGTGCACTTGTGAGTGCCGCGTTGTGGGTACCGCTCTCGATGGAGCTCCCTATGGGGCCACGACCCTCATGAAAGGTGTGCCCGAATGGGCGGGGGGGCGCATGCGGACCCTGCCGCGGGGGCCTTCGGTTGAGCTCCCTATGGGGCCACGATCCTCGTGAGGGGCGCGCCGCCATGGGCGGGAAGACGCATGCGAACCCTGTCGCTGAGGCATTCGGTGGAGCTCCCTATGGGGCCACGGTCCTCGTGAGGGGTGTGCCGACATGGGCGGGAGGACGCATGCGAGCTTTGCCGCTGGGGCCTTCGGTGGAGCTCCCTATGGGGCCACGATCCTCGTGAGGGGTGTGCCGAAATGGGCGGGGGGCGCATGCGAACTTTGCCACTGGGGCCTTCGGTGGAGCTCCCTATGGGGCCACGATCCTCGTGAGGGGCGTGCCGAAATGGGCGGGGGGACGCATGTGAACGTTGCCACTGGGGCCTTCGGTGGAGTTCCCCGTGGGGACACGATCCTCGTGAGGGGTGTGCCGAAATGGGCGGGGGGACGCGCGCGAACCTTACCATTGGGGCTTTCGATGGAGCTCCCTACGGGGCCACGATCCTCGTGAGGGGTGTGCCGAAATGGGCGGGGGGACGCATGCGAACTTTGCCACTGGGGCCTTCGGTGGAGCTCCCTGTGGGGCCACGATCCTCGTGAGGGGTGTGCCGACATGGGCGGGGGGACGCATGCGAACTTTGCCACTGGGGCCTTCGGTGGAGCTCCCTACGGGGCCACGATCCTGGTGAAGGGTGTGCGAAATGGGCGGGGGGGGACGCATGCGAACTTTGCCACTGGGGCCTTCGGTGGAGCTCCCTATGGGGCCACGATCCGCGTGAGGGGGTGTGCCGAAATGGACGGGGGGACGCATGCGAACTTTGCCACTGGGGCCTTCGGTGGAGCTCCCTATGGGGCCACGATCCTCGTGAAGGGGGGTGTGCCGAACTGGGCGGGGGGCGCATGTGGACGGTGGCACTGGGGCCTTCGGTGGAGCTCCCTATGGGGCCACGATCCTCGTGAGGGTTGTGCCGAAATGGGCGGGGTGACGCATGCGAACTTTGCCACTGGGGCCTTCGGTGGAGCTCCCTATGAAGTCACGGTTCCCGTCCGTGAGGCGTGTTCCGAAATAGACCTTGGGACGCATGCGAACTTTGCCACTGGGGCCTTCGGTGGAGCTCCCTAAGGGGACACGATCCTCGTGAGGGGTGTGCCGAAATGGGCGGGGGGCGCATGCGAACCTTACCATTGGGGCCTTCTTTGGAGCTCCCTGTGGCCACGAAACGCCGTCTTGGGTGGGTGAAACGCAGGCAGGTGACGAGGCGGATGGGAAGAGGGCGAAGGAGGAGGAGGAGGAGGGGGAGGAGGAGGAGAGGAGAGGAGAGGCGAGGCGAGGCGAGGAGAGGAGAGGAGAGGAGAGGAGAGGAGACGCGGGACGCTGTCTCTTCAATTGCTGGACCCAACACCATACGACTGTTGGGGGTTAGCCTCGCGAAGGACCCAACCATATGCAATTGTGAGTACCGCAATTGTACATAGCTTCTTTGGTGGCGCTCACGATGGGGCCACGAACCGTGTGAAGGGAGTGCCGAACTGGGTGCGGCGGACGCGTTCGGACGGTGGCACTGGGGCCTTCGGTGGAGCTCCCTATGGGGCCACGGTCCTCGTGATAGGTGTGCCGAAATGCGCGGGGGGACGCATGCGAGCTTTGCCACTGGGGCCTTCGGTGGAGTTAGCTCCCTATGGTGCCACGATCCTCGTGAGGGGTGTGCCGAAATGGGCGGGGGGACGCGCGCGAACCTTACCATTGGGGCTTTCGATGGAGCTCCCTATGGGGCCACGGTCCTCGTGAGGGGTGTTCCGAAATGGGCGGGGGGGGGACGCATGCGAACTTTGCCACTAGGGCCTTCGGTGAAACTCCCTATGGGGCCACGGTCCTCGTGAGGGGTGTGCCGAAATGTGCGGGGGGATGCATGCGAACTTTGCCACTTGGGCCTTCGGTGGAGCTCCCTATGGGGCCACGATCCTCGTGAGGGGTGTGCCGAAATCGGCGGGGTGACGCATGCGAACTTTGCTACTGGGGCCGTAAATGGAGCTCCCTATGGGGCCACGGTCCTCGTGAGGGTTGTGCCGGCATGGGCGGGGTGACGCATGCGAACTTTGCCACTGGGGCCTTCGGCGGAGCTCCCTATGAGGTCACGGTTCTCGTGAAGGGTGTGCCGACATGGGCGGGGGGGGACGCATGCGAACTTTGCCACTGGGGCCTTCGGTGGAGCTCCCTAAGGGGACGCGATCCTCGTGAGGGGTGTGCCGACATGGGCGGGGGGACGCATGTGGACGGTGGCACTGGGGCCTTCGGTGGAGCTCCCTGTGGGGCCACGAAGCGCAGTCCTGGGTGGGTGAAACGCAGGGAAGTGGTGAGGCGGATGGGAGGAGGGATGGGGGGGAGGAGGAAAGGAAAGGAGAGGAGAGGAGACGCGGGGCGCAGTCTCTTCAAAACGAGGAACCAGTATCGCAGGATTGATGGGCATCTAGCCCGGCGAAGCACCCAACCATATGCAGTTGTGCGCGCCGCAATTGTAAATATCGTATCTTTTATCTGTGTGCCAGGCCCGCGCGGCGCGAGCTCAGGTTCCAGCGACCGCGCAGCGGCGGTCGCCGAGGGCGCAGGCGGCAAGCGAACGCCTAATAGCGGGGCCTCGAGTGGCAAAGGAGCGGGCGAGCCAAAGGGCCAACACGCCGCCACCCGAGCAGAACCCCTCGTCGCGCCCTGGACGCCACGCGCGGCCTTGCTCCCAGCGCAGCTGGAGCCCCTAGTGCTGGCTGGTCGGGCACGCACGCCCCCGCAGTGGAGGGGGAGAGCGAATGACGCGCTCCGAGGCAAGTGTGCAGCGTCACCTGGGACAACGCAGCCCGCGCCATCCACCAGGCCGTGCCACCCTCAAGCCGAGGGTGGACCACCGAAGCCACTCCCTGGGAGCAGAGGTGTGCGGCGTCACCTGTGACAGCACAGCTCGCGCTATCAGCCAGGCCGTGTCACCCTCAAGCCGAGGATAGACCACCGAAGCCGCTCCCTCGAAAAAGCTCATCGGAGGACGGGGAAGAGCGGCGAGGCTCGGGAAGCGCTCGCCGCGAATGGTCGCCCGACGCGCTGGCAGGACCCTCGAGGTACGCCAACGGCAGTGCGGGGGCGCCGCGAGGCGAGCCCTCGAGGATCGATCGCTGCAGCCGATCCCTGCTACAGCGGTGCAGAGCCATCGGGACGACCGAGCAGACGAGCCGAGCCTGCTCGTAGCACAGCTGGGCGTGCGAGAAGCGGTCGAGGACCGCCGAGCGCTCCGCAGGCCCGCCAACAACGAGAGGGACCGCATCGCTCGCCGCCATGAGCCGCTGGAGCACGCGCGATCGTCTGCGATTGCCGCCGCCTAAGACCAGGGTGGAATCAGGGGCGAAAGCGAAGATGACGGGCGACGCAAGCTCCCGCTCGTGGGCCGATGCGCCGAAGCTGGAGGGCTCTCCTCCACTGTCGCCGACCTCGAGCATCTCGGTCTCCTCCGCGTCGACGTGGGCGTCGCCGCCCAAAGAGCGCTGGCGCCCGAACTCCCTCTCGCCGTCCTCTGTCCCGACGGTGCCCCCGTTGAGGAGCGCAGCAGGGTTGGCTTGGAGGCACTCGCCCACGATGCTCGTGCACGCTTGAGTGGGCAGGGTGGCCGTGCAGGCGGTGCTGCAGACCACTGCGCCCTCCTGGTCTCCACTATCAACCGCCCCGGGGCCAGAGAGCCCATCGATCTCGTCGCCGTCGTTGCCGCCGACGCCCGAGGAGATGTTTGAGCCCAGCATGTCGTCTGGGTTGGGAACTTTGCCGGCGGGAGGCGCAAGGAGGCTAGCGTCGCCGTCGCCTCCGCCCCCGCCGACCCACTTCCACCAGCGCGCGCCCGACGCCAGAGGCGCAGGCCTCGGCTCGGGAGCGCGGCGAACGCGCTCGGACAGCGCGAAGACGGTGCCTGGCTGCAGGCTGCGTCCGCGGCGGCGAGCCAGGGCCCAGTGCACCGGCACCGCATTGGCCGCGGCGCGCGCGGAACGCGGCGAGCGGGCGCCGCCGTCGCCGACAGCGGCCTGCGCACGCAGCGTCTGCGCCCTCCAGATTGCAGACCAGAGCCAGCGGGGCGGCGAAGAGGATAAGGAGCACCGTCACGAGCACCAGCACCCCGAAGTTGCCGACCTCCACCGCGGCCCCGCCTCGCGGACGAGTGAAGGCGGCGCCCAGAACTGCGCTGCATGGCGTTGAGCTCCGCCTTGCCCGCCTTCTCGATCACCGCCGCGGCAGTGCCGAAGACGTGCGCCGCCGTGTTGCGCCTCTGCTTGGCCAGCGTCGGCACGCATGGGGAAGCCGCCCCCCCTGCTCCGCGGCCAGGCCCGCTGCGAGAAGCGGCGCTTCGAGGGCGAGCCGACCAACCAGCTCTCCAGCCAGCAAGTCGCCCGCCTCCCCAGCCGCGCCAGCGCCCGCCACGGCCACAGCCTGCTGGGCCGCCGCCTCGTGACACCCCGCGTCCGCGCGAGCTCCGCCTCGAGGCCCGCGACCTTGGACTCGAGCTCCTGCACGCGCACGAGGGCGGCCGACAGGTTCCCCTGGACGGCGCCGCGCGCAGCCGCCTGGCGCGCACGGCGCGCTGGCCAGAGAGAAGCGGCAGCATCAACCATCCGAGGCTGCTCTGCCGCCACATGGCCAGCTTGGCAGCCGTCCGCAGCCATGTCCGAAGCGCGCGCGACTCTGCGGCCTTCCGCGGGGCCCAAAACGAGAGCGAGGAGCGGCTTGAGCCAAAATGGCGACGGAGAGTGTAAATATCTTCTTTGGTGGCGCTCCGTATGGGGCCACGAACCCCGTGAGGGGTGTGCCGAACTGGGTGCGGCGGACGCGTTCGGACGGTGGCTCTGGGGTATTCGGTGGAACTCCCTATGGGGCCACGAACCGTGTGAGGGAGGTGCCGACATGAGTGCTGGGGACGAATGCATGCGGTGGCACTGGGGCCTTCGGTGGGGCTCCCTATGGGGTCACGAGACGTGTGGGTGGTGTGCCGAAATGGGTGCGGGGGACGCATGTGGACGGTGGCACTGGGGCCTTCGGTTGGGCGACCTATGGGACCACGAAACATGTGAGGGGCGCGCCGACATGTGAATGGGGGACGCATTTGGACGGTGGCACTGCGGCCTTCGGTGGAGCTCCCTATGAGGCCACGAAACGTGCGAGGGGTGCGCCGAAATTGGTGCGGGGGACGCATGTGGACGGTGGCACTGGGCCCATCGGTGGAGCTCCCTCTGGAGCCACGAAAAGTGTGAGCAGCGTGCCGAAATAGGAGTGGGGGACGCATGTGGACGATGGCGCTTGGGCCTTCGGCTGAGCTCCCCGTGGGGCCACGAAACGTGTGAGGGGGGGCCGAAATGGGTGCGGGGGACGCATGTGGACGATGGCACTGCGGCTTCGGTGGACCTCCCTATGGGGTCACGAAACGTGTGAGGAGTGAACCGAAATGGGTGCGGGGGACGCGTGTCGCGTGTGGACGGTGACTCTGGGGCCTTCGGTGGAGCTCCCAATGAGGCCACGAAACGTGAGAGAGGTGTGCCGAAATGGGTGTGGGGACGCATGCGGACGGTGGCACTGCAGCCTTCGGCTGAGCTCCCCGTGGGGCCGCGCAACGTGTGAGGGGGGTGCCGAAATGGGTGTGGGGGGCGCATGTGGACGGTGGCACTGGGGCCATCAGTGGGGCTCCCCAGGGGTCCACGACACGTGTGAGAAGTGTGCCGAAATGTGTGTGTGGGGGCGCATGTAGACGGTTGCACTTGGGCCCTCGGTGGAGCTCCCTATGGGGCCACGACACGTGTGAAGGGTGTGCCGACATGGGTGTGGGGACGCATGTGGACGGTGGCACTGGGGCCATAGGTGGAGCTCACTCTGGAGCCACGAAACGTGTTAGAGGAGTGCCGAAATGGGTGTGGGGGACGCATGTGGGCGGTGGCACTGGGCCCTTCGGTGGAGCTCCCTATGGGGCCACGAAGCGTGTGAAGGGTGTGCCAAGTGAGGGGGCGGGTGGGGGGAGGGATGAGGAGGGAGAGGAGGAAGGAACGAAGGAGGATAACGCGGGGACCGTCTCTTCGGTGACCCAACACCACAGGATGGTGGTTGGGAAATATATTGAGCCCTGATGAGATTCAATCAAAGCTGGATCCAGCTAGAATAGAACCCGACTAGCCTTGGACCGAGCCCGACTAGGATGCGATTAAAATAGGATCCAGCCATACTCTGATTGTATTAGATATTGATCGAGCACCACATAGAATTGAGCGTTCAGGCAAGCTGGGCTGGATTTACGTGTTCTGGATGTATATGAAAGCAATCAGTATGCGCTGCCGCGGCCATGTCCTTAAGCATCGGAGCGAGGCGAGGGAGAGTCCAGCTCATGAGGAGACCGTCGTCAGCGAACCGGAGGTTCGTTAGGCAGCGTCCTGGAGAAAATACGAGTTGGACTCCATGGGCGCGTTCTTGCCACATGGTGAAGGGCGGTGTCATGTACTCAATGAGCGAACTTAACACCAATGATCCGATAGGGGGTCACCCTGTTCGTGCCTCTCAGTTGACGGAATGGGCGGCTGGTCGCGTTTGTCTGTATTGGTGCTGCTTGCTCAGAGTAGAACCGCTTGAGAATGACGATGCTATCTGCTGTGATGCCTTGGTGTTGAGGCAACCCAACGACTTTCGTGTTCATCCGTGTCGAATGCTGTTTTGGAAGCCGAGTGCAGCTATCTAAAAGGGCTGGTTCCATTCGAGTGCTCTTTTCCCAAAGGGAAGTGGCAAGTAAACAAATGGTCTTGCGTCGACCGCCCAGGGCGGGAGCGAGCTTTGTCTGGAGGCTGCTGTTCGTCCAATTGCGGTTGTAATCTGCTGCAAAGAAGTTTGCTGAAAAGCTTGTATAATGAAGGCGTGCTGCAAATTGGTCGGTGGATTTGTGGTTGCAAAAAGTTTCCTGCGCTTGGAATGACTGTGATGACCGTCCGTCGTCAGCATTGCGGGGTGGGTGCATCTGGTCGGAGAATGGTGTTGTAGAGCTGTAATATGGCTTGCTTCTGTTCCGGCAAAGCGTGTTTCAACATTTCCGCCCAGATTCCGCTCTGGCCTTGTGCTTTGCCAAGCTTCGGGGTGCATAGTACTTTGTCGGGCTCAGTGTCGCGGCTGATCGAGTGGAATGGTAAAACTGCTCGTAGAAGTCTGAGAACACGTTTCCTCTGGCCTCTCTGCTTGTATACATGTTGCCATCCGTGCCCCGCATGTCTCTGATAAGCGTGGGCCTCCGTCTCGATTTGATCGTAGTGATTCGCTTGATCCCTGGGTATTCGTCCAAGAATTTACTTACCTGTGCTCGTCGTTTATCCGGTTTGTCACGTCGTACCTCTTGTAGGGTTTGCTTGCTGATGTGCCGTCGCGCTTGCGCGTCTTGGTTGGGTGTGTTCTGTCGTAGCTGTATGATGTCTTGCAGGCGTGTCTGGGCCGGATGGTGTGGCTGTAGTTGATTGGGTGTTTTCTTGCTCGAGGATGCCGCTTCCATTATTGTTGAATGGATGTGCTCATGGAGCTCCCCAGGATGGTGCGGCAAGTCTGAAGTCGGGATGTAATCCGTGAGTGTCACTGTGTACATGCTGGAGTCTATGTCATTCCATCTGCTAATGTTCGTGTTTCGTTGTGTTCTCTCATGTTCCTGCTTCTTTAGGTTCCGTCGGCTGCTTGTTGGGGGGGGGGGGAACACGCAAAAGGACCTGGGAGCCCTCTACCAAAAGACGGTCCCCAAGACTCCTGGCGTGGCATGCCCCTTAGATGCCCCCAAGAAGCCCCAAAAGGATTCGAGAGACCTCATCCGTCCCTTCGCGGCAACGATCCGTGTCGAGCCCGCGTCAGATCCACGTCGAAGTCCGCGTCGGCGTCGAATCCACTTCGAAGTCCGTGTCGGTGTCGAATCCAAGTCGAAAGCACGCCTGAGCCGATCGAAGGAAAATATTGCCGCTTGCAGGACAGAGAAGGCCCCGCGCAGATGCAAAAAAAACCAGCCCGCACCTGTCCCCGCTGCGCATCCACTCCTGGTCGGCAGGAGTGCCCACGTGCTCTGCCGGTCCGCTGTCGCGGGGGGGCGCAGAGTACAGTCGGGGCCTTGACCTAAGGAACCCAAAAGAAGGAACGGGGCCCCTTTCTCCCATAAGTTGAACTTCGATTTCCCATGGGAAACCTCAGGAAACCCGAAGGTACACTGCAGAACAAGCAAGGAACACCGAGCCCCTCCCCAACGAAAAGGGTTCCTTCTTCAGGGCCCCGACTGTAGAAGAGAGGATGGTGAGGAAGAAGCGGAGACAGGCGAAAGCAAGCGGAGGAGCTCATTGCGACGCGACCCAAACCAAATTCCCCCGATCACACCACATGGTTAAACAAGGGCGAGCCAGCCAAACCGGGAATGTCGAAACGGGCCAACATGAGATAAAGGAACGTGTTCGTTGGCCCGTGATGCTGTGCAATGCAGTACCATGCTATGTTCTGCTATGCTATGCTAAGCTGTGCTATGCTGAGCTCTGCAATGCTGCGCTCAACCGAAGTGGGCCCCTGGAGCTCTTGACCTGTTACCCGGGACTCATGCGCTTCCCGCTCGTGCCAACACATGTCTACCAGGAGAATGTATAAGCCAGCTGGCGATGTTGGCCAGACGGAATGGAAGCGCCACTGCCGTGGGGGCCTTGGCCAGTGCACACGCCCGAGCCACGCTCGGACTAAACATGCTCCCCACTGACCATCCACTGTGCTTGCGTGTGTAGAAGGACTGCTCATGGTCATCGCGATGGCACCGGCACGGAGAAGGGAGGAAATAGAAGGCGGCGGGCGCGGCTGGCGAATTGCAGCGACCTATGGAGCCCTGACAAATGCACACGCCCGAACCACGCTAGGACCGAACATGGTCTGCAATGGAAATCCACTCCCGTTGCCTTGCCTTGTGAGGTCGCGATTGAAACCAGAGCCAGAAAAGGAAGAACAACTGTGACGGAACTGGGGAAGGATTGCGCCGGGACTCGCAACAAAAAGGAGCAAAACGGGAATCGTTTGCAAAACTGCCCTGTCGTTTCCAGGGCCCACTGAAGACTGCCCCCCCCTCCTGCCAGGTGTGGGCGGCGAGCGCAACGACGACCGCGCAGGAAAGAACCAGCGCACGCGCGCGCGGGTGCAATGCCGAAAGGCCCCCAGCCGGGAGGGAAGTCGGGGCATGGCGGATGCCCCCCACGAGGCACGCGGACATCAGAGGACGCGCACAAAGCGCCTACTCTCTGCACGCTTCCACGCCGTGCACTGTCCACGAGCATCGGCAACTCGCGATCGGCCCGCACGCCGCGGCCGATCGCGCCACCGAGGCGTGGCAGAAAAAAACGCGCCTTGGCTTACCTTCTCGCTGCGGGCAGCTCGGCGGGCTGCGCCCACAGAGGAACGAGAGGCGTCTCCTCCACCTCCGCCGCCTACCCCACCGCCACTCTTCGGGGATGGACAGACGCCGCTTTGGTAGAACGTGGTTTAGTGAAAACGACCTGAGGCCCAAACCTGGCGGGCGCGAGCCTGGAAAAGAACGGCCACGGCGCCCTCTCGAGAACCGAACTCGGACAATTCACTAATCGACGTGTCGCTGTTGGGGGTTCTGTCCACCCCCGAACTCTTCTGTCATGGCTATGAGACTGGGGCACTAAGGTGCAAAACGTCAGAGCTCCCCCTGTCGGAGCGATGCCAGAGGCTGGCGCGCGCGCGTGTGCGTGCAAATCTTTCGTCTCCGCCTTCCCTCCCTCTGGTCGCCTCCCTTCCGTCATCGTCCCTTCGGGCTCCCGTGTGGGAAGCGCTGCCCATCCCCCGCTCGAACCCAAGATGGTCGCCAGGAAGACTGGCCGACTATGAAGGCCCGTTCGCGTCAGTGTTCGAATGCGCCAAAAAAGTGCGTGGGCTCGAGCCTGTCAAGAGGTGCGCGAACTTGCCAGAAGACGCAAGCAACAACAAACAACATGTTCCTCGCCTCTCTTCCTCTCAAGCTCGTTCCCCCTGGGCTCTGGACTCCGGCATGGGGCGCGGCATTGCATCTTCCTCTGGTGCCCGACGTGGCCTTCAGTAAGACTGCTCGACCGCCAAATGTGGTGTCGGCGCTCGAATGTGCACACCTGGCCGTGGGATCCACCCTGCCAAAAAAGCGCACGAACTTGTCAGAAGACATATGTACTGATCATCGTTCTCCTCGCCTCTCTTCCTCCCTCGCTCAGTCCCGTGCGGCATGCACCGCTGCACCGCACTCTCACGCACAAAGTGGTCTGCAGTGAGATAACTCCACCTCCCCTACCTGCTCGTGTCGGCGTTCGAACTCGCCGCGCACCTGGCAGCGGGACCCACTCTACCAAAAGTGCGCGAACTTGCGACATGAAGTATTCAATGCGGCTGTCAAAGAGCGCCAAGAGGGCATCTTTTAGGGCAACTCCGTGACTAGATCACAACGAAGTTGGTAGCATTTGGCTGGGAGTGCTTCTGCCACATACCTCTAAGCGGTGCGAGAGACGGGGTAGGACGAGGGGGGCAGCATTCTAAGACTGCCCGTCGCCCATCGCCTCTCGCAAAGCGTGGCGCATACGATTCTGAGGGACAGTACCCTTCTGGGACGGCCCGCCCTGTCTCGCGCACCGCTGAACCACCCCAGTGCGCGCCTCGCACCCGTTGGCCCCAGCCTGAATGCCCGACGCGGGGCACCTGGAAGCCCCGACCACTTCCCAGAGGGCGGGTTTTCCATCCCGAGTCGAAAAGGGACCTCCCGAGGCTGGCAGTGATGAGGACGACAGTGATCGTGTTGGGAGGAAGGGGCTGGGAAGATACGGGCACGACTGCGTCCATAAAAGAAGCACCTTCAACATACGCGGAGAGCGGTAATGTTGATGACATGATGATTCCTCCCAACCCCATCCTCCCACCCCGATGCAGTGGGGGCCGATCCACAAGAAACCTTCCACAAGAACCCCAACCCTGAGACCCCAGGACATCTGTTGGCTTTTGGCGTGTGATCGTAACGCTTTCCATCGCAAAACAATCGAAACCCAAGAAACCCAGGGCACCCTGGAGGCAAGCAGGGTGCTTTTTGGCCTGGGCCTCCACTGTACTTGTTCCCTACCTAGGCTCTGCCTAGAAGGGTTCTTACTCTCCGGGCTTAAAGGGGCCGGGCAGTGGAAAGCGCCCCGGGCGGTTCCCCCAGTATCCGCCCAGCGGTTCCCCCAGTTACGTCCCCTTAGCTTAGCGTTGCTTATCTCATCTTAGCTTAGCTTGTTTCATCTTAGCTTAGGCTAGCTTCATATTAGCTATGGTTTATCTTAGCTTAGCTTACCTTCATCTTAGCTTCGCTGAGCTGAGCTTTAGCATAGCAGAGCACAGCATTGCATGTCATAGCGAAGCTTAGCATAGCACAGCGCATCATGACATAGCATAGCATAGTTTAGCATAGCTTAGCTTAGCATAGCATAGCATAGCATAGCACAGCATAACATAGCATATCATAGCACAGCATAGCATAGTGCAGCATAGCATGGCATAGCATAGCATAGCAACTAATGCTGCTTTCCTAGGGGCTCCAACTTCTAGGTAGGGTCGCACTGGGGTAATCTTTCTGGAGTGAGGAGCAGCAGGGCGGGCCTCGCACTCAACTCACCGCGCCGGATGCAAGAGCCTCCAGCCACTCGGCGGCCACCTGTGCGTGCCGCCTTCGGAGACGGTGCTCCTGCCAGCGCGCGAGATGTCGGGCGCGCTGGTGAGCGCGACGCCGCGTCCCGCCCTGCGCCGGTGCGCGTGGAGAGCCTCCTCCGCGGCGGCGGTGGAGTGCAGCTGCGTGTGGAGGAACACCCGCGCGCTGGTGAGCGCCAACCCACCTGCCGCGCCGCGCACCTCCCGCAGCCCGGGCTCCGCCTGGCCGCGGCTGTCCTCGCAGGGAGGGGGGGCGCCCGTGCACCCGCGCTGGCCCTCGCCAGGTCCACCCCAGAGCGCAGGGACGGGGCCAGGCCTGGGCTCGGGGGCGACGGCAAGGGTTGAGCAGCCCATGGGGGGGAGCAGTGCACCTACCAGAGTTCGGTGGCAGATCATGGGAGCCTGGCATGTCCTCGCAGTTCCGTCTTCAGATTGCATTCGCGTGTGCTGGCGTCTGGTGGTCGATGGGAAAGCGCCGATGCCCCGACGATTATCGCCGATTTATCGCCGATTTAGCGTCGATGAGCGTCGATTATCGTCGGCGAGCGCGGATCCGCAAGGGCCACCAAGACGGTATGGGATGCTCCAGTGGCACATGGGTTGCCTCCGAGAACCAAGAAGCACACCGATGGCCCAAAAACGTGCAGTGCCCGCCCCTGGGCCACTCGACGCCTCTCGTTGCCTTGGAGGGACGCGCGTTCTGGTGTGCACGACCGGCGTCCCCTCCCGTCCTCGTGGTCGTCGAGCCTGGCGTCGTCCCCCTCGAAGCGGTCGACCTCGTGGTCAGACGGCGCCTCCGTCGTCTCCGTGGCCTGCCTCCTCGCAGGCCTCGTGGGGATCCGCGGGGGCTTCTTCGAGGTCGCCGCGGCCCGCTCCTTCGCGGGGCTCGGCGGAGGCTTCCTCGACCACTCGGCGTCGAGAGCCTTGGCGTCCACGAGCCCGGCCGCCTCTCCCACGAGCTCTGCAGAAGCTGCAGCATCTGCCGCCATCGACCGCGGTGGCGGCGGAGAGGGTCGAGTCGGCTATGGATGGTGCAGCGCTGGCTCCGAGCAGCTCGGGGCAGAACTGTGCTGACCCGAAACGGCCTGATGAGCCAAAACTGGCTGCGGAGGGTGAGGATTAAGAGGGACGCCTGGCAGGGGAGGCGCGCGCCCATGCGGGGCACTATGCTGGCTTCTTGGGAACCCTCTGCCCCGTTCCTTGATCGACGGCCTGCGACGCCAAGAATGCATGCACACAGTACGGCGGCCTATGCCCCCGTCCTTGTTCGACGGCATATATCCCCTTCCTTATTCGACGGCCTATGGCACCAAGATGCCTATCAGCCTTTGGTGCCTACATGTAGTTACGCGTGCACACGCGGAACGGAAAGGATGGCCAGCTCGATTGCAGCGGTGGGCTCATTATCCTCATTGTTCTGCTCCTTGTCCCACTCAACCCCATTGACACCGCCCTCTTCCCCTTCGTCTGCTCCTCCTCCTCCCCTCTTTCACTTCCCCTGCCCGTCCCCATCCGCTCTCCTTGCTCTTCCTCCTCATCTCCTCCTTCCCTTCCCCTTCCCGCCTCATCCTTTCCTCCTCTCTCCCTCTACTTCGTCCCCCCCACCTTGCCACGGCGGCGGCGACGATCACGACGACCAAGGCGGTGACCACGACCACGACGACCCCCCCACCCACGTACCCCCCCGCGTCTCCCAACCCATCATGATACCTTCCCCCCCCCGCCCCGCAACGGCGCTGGCGATCAAGGACGACCGCGGCGGCGACCATGACCACGACGATCCACCCCCCCGAGCCTTCCCACGTATCATGGTACTGCCCCGCCCTCGCCCCGCAACGGTGGCGGCGACCAAGGTGGACCGCGGCGGCGACCACGACCACCACGACGCAACCCCCCCATGCCTTCCCACCCGTCATGATGGTTCCCTCCCCCTCGCCCCGCAACCCACTCCGCATGCCTTCCCCCCCACCATGCTACTTCCTTCACCCGGAGGCCCGGTCTGGCCGGTTTGGAGGGGCGTGGGGGGGTGGGGGGCAAAGGTGTCGGCCGCACACTTGGAGCCTCAAGAGGCCCCAAAACGAACCCAAAAGGTTCAAAAGGGTCCCGGAACGGTCCAAGAGAGCTACGAGTCGACGAAAAATCGTTCCAAAACGCAGAAGATTGCCTCCAGACGGCCCCATCAGTCCCCAAGACTCTCGAAAAAATATTACGGGGCGCCCCACGAAGGCCTCCCAGAAGCAAAAATCGCCCCATTCCCTAAGGAAATCTACATTTTCATCACATTCGCCTATTGGGCTTCCACGCGGCCCACAACGGCCCAAGAAGCCTCCAAGATCGACCCTCCGCAGCCCAAAAGGCCCCCCAAAAGGCTCCACGACGGCTTCCAGGCGATCCACGGAGGCTCCAGAAACCATAGCAACGGCCCTGGAGAGCCGCAGGACGGTCCCAAGAAGGCCCCAAGACGGGCCAATAGGGTCATTTAAAGGCTGCCCAGACGACCCACGCGGGGGACGATTCGGTCCAAACCGCTCAAGATTGCCTCCAGACGGCCCCATAAGCCCCCAAGATGTTTGAAGACGTGTCCACGAGGCGCTCCGAGAGGGCCTCCAAAAGCAAAAATCGTCCCATTTCGTAGCGGAAACATGAATTTTCAGTGCATTCGCCTCTTGGGCTTCCACGAGGCCTACAACGGCCCAATAAACCTCCAAGTTCGACCCCCGACACCCCAAAAGGCTCGGCTCCACGACGGCTTCCGGCCGCATCGCGAAGGCCTCAGAAACCACAGCCACGGCCCAGGATAGTCGCATGACGGTACAACGAGAGTCCCACATCGGGCCAATAGGGTCCCCAAAGGGCTTCTGGACGTCCGACGATGGGGACGAATCGGTCCAAACCGCCCCAGCTTGCCTGCTGACGATTCCCCAGAGGCCCCCGAGACGTTGGAAAAAAACTGCTACGAGGCGCCCCACGAAGGCCTCCAGAAGCAAACGTCGTCCCGTTCCCTAGGAGAAACGCACATTGTTAGCACATTTGCCTCTGGGGCTTGGCCTACAACGTCCCAAGAAGCATCCAACATCGACCCCCTACAGCCCCAGAGGCTTTCAAGAGGGTTCCAACACGGCCTCCGGGCGCCCCACGAAGGCCCCAGAAACCACAGCAACGGCCCTGGAGAGCCGCAGGACGGTCCCAAGAAGGCCCCAAGACGGGCCAAGAGGGTCATTAAAAGGCCTCCTGGTCGGCCCAAGTCGTTCAACAGTGCCCCAAGTCGTCAGACATTGCCTCCCGACAGCCCTACGGGCCCCCAAGACGCCTCAAGACGCTACCCAGAGGCGTCCCAAGAAGCCTTCCAGAAGAAACAACCGTCCAAGTTTAGCACGTTCGCCGCTTGGCCTTTCACGAGGCCCACAGCAATCCAAGAAGCTCCCAAAATCAATTCAAAGGAACCCCGTATGCCTCCAAGAAGGCTCCCAGACGGCCCAAAAGGTCCCCAAGAGGGCCCCCGCAGCCACCGAGGAGGGCCCCAGGACGGCCCAAAAGGACTCCCCCGACGGCCCCAAAGGGCTACGACTCTTGTAGAGATCGCTCCAAGACGTCCGACATTGCCTCCGGACGGCCCCGGAAGCCCCCTGCACGCCCCGACGCGCCACCAGGACGCGTCCCAAGAGGCTCCCAGAAGCAAACCTCGGCCCGTTTCCTAAGGGAAGCGCCGAAGTTTAGCACTTTCGCTTCTTGGCCTGTCACAGGGCTCACAGCAGCCGACAAAGCACCCCAAATCAAGGAAACCTCATATGCCTCCGAGAAGGCTCCCAAACGGTCCAAAAGGGCCCCAAGAGGGCCCCCACATCCACCAAGGAAGGCTACCGGACGGCCCCACGAAAAGGGTCCGAAGGGAAACCCGAATGGAGAATTCGAGCACTTCACCCGAAAACCCGAGAGAGCGCCACACGGCACCCAGGAGGCCCCTACGGGGCTCCACGATGCCCCCGGGAGACCCCGGGACCCGGAGGGCTCCAGACTGGATCGAAAAGCTGGGGGCACCATGGGCCAAGAGCACCTGTAGCAACCTCCGACACGGGGCCGCGGCGCGGGCTTCGGTATCTGGGCCTCCACGGGCGCCATGCACAGACCATCCCCTGAGATATAAGCATAGCTCCTCCTCCCCCCTCCTCCTCCTCCTCCTCCTCCTCCTCCTCCTCCTCCTCCTCCTCCTCCTCCTCCTCCTCCTCGCAACCTTGAAGCTGCGGGCACGTTTGCGTCCATGCCCTCGTCCTCCTCCTACTCCTCCCTAGAGATCCAAGCGTTACAGCGTTATTCGGTTGCGCTTGGACTCGGGCCCCGAAGTCCGCCGACCCCTTGGGGCCACGGCGTGTGAGATGCTTCTTCCCCTTCCCCAAACGCCTCCCCCGGGAACCCGGTCGGCCAGTTTGGAGGGTGGGTGGGGGGTAAAGGTGTCGGCCGCACACTGAGAACCTTAAGGGGCCCCAAGACGAGCCAAAAAGGTCCAAAAGGCTCCCGGAACTGTCCACCTACCCTGGGGGTGGAAAGGCCTGGGACAGGCCCCGTGAAGGCCCCAAGAAACCCACATAAAACCATGAAGACCGTCAAAACAATTCCCTACAAGGCCCCCCCTTGAACCCCACACGCTACGTACGACAGGCCGAAATCCCAAGATTGCCCAGTGATCGCGCGCGTTCCGCGAACTCCGTCTTTCACTCTTGCTGCCGCCCCAAGGGGTCGGCGGTGCGGCGTAGGCCAATGAATCACCCCGACAAGCGAAGCTGTTAGTAAACGCGCGCAAGGGATGAATCGAACAGGACAAGGCTGTTTAGTAAACGCCCAGGGCCGTTTAACAAACGTCAATTGTCGGTTCCAAATGGTTCTTCCTCTCTCGAGGGTGGGTCGCCGGGTGGGTCGCGGGTGGGTCGCGGGGTGGGTCGCGGGTGGGTCGCGGGTGGGTCGCGGATGGGTCGCGGGGTGGGTCCCGGGTGGGTCGCGGGGTGGATCGCGAATGGGTCGCGGGTGGGTCGTGGGTTGGTCGCGGGATGGGTCGCGGGTGGGTCGCGGTTTGGGTCACGGGTGGATCGCAGGGCGGGTCCCGGGGAGGGTCGCGGGTCGGACGACGACAACAAACAAACAAACAAACAAACAAACAAACAAACAAACAAACAAACAAACAAACAAACAAACAAACAAACAAACAAACAAACAAACAAACACACAAACAACAGCAATCATTCCAAGACTGTTCGCTCCTACCGGCCCGCGTGTCATTCACTATGCAAAACCCAAGCCCTGGATACCCGCCCTTTTCGATCTTACCCCCTTTGGGGGGGTTGTATTCCTTCCTGGCCACGTGTAATTGGAGAATCCTCTAGACAGGGAAACGAAAGGGAAAAGACAGAAAGAGAGGACGAAGGGATCGGAGGAAGGGAGGGATTAGAGGGGCAAGAGGGGGGGGCGACGATGATTTGTGCCGATGATATGGGGCATGAGTGGGCAATTTGGCGGGACCTCTGTGGGCGCGTGCGGGGCCTCTGCGAGCTGCGGCAGGGGTCTCTGTTGGCAGCGTGGCGGGGCCTCGCGGGGCGCGTCCGAGGCGGAAGCCGTTGTTGTTGTAGCCGGGGGGGCCCAGGGGCACAGTTTGGCCCGGATGACTTTCCCTGTCAAATGAACAGGGTGCGAGAGTCGAGGGGCGCACTTTGACTGAGAACTGGGCAGCGTGGTGGGGCCTCTGTGTGCGCGTTCGGGCCTCTGTGGGCTGCCTCTGGGGCCTCAGTGGGCAGCGTGGTGGAGCCTCTGTGGGCGCGTTCGGGGCCTCTGTGGGCTGCGTCTGGGGCCTCAGTGGGCAGCGTGGTGGGGCCTCTGTGGGCAGTGTGGTGGGGCCTCAATGGGCGCGTTCGGGGCCTTTGCGGGCTGCGTCAGGGGTCTCAGTGGGCAGCGGGGTGGGGGCGCGTTCGGGGCCTCTGTGGGCTGCGTCTGGGGCCTCAGT